CTTATAGCTTATTGAGTAGATGGAGCTGCAAGCGATCCAGCCGTATTTGGGCTTGTTGGATCCGACCTCTTACACCCATTTATGCTTCAAACTTGAGCTATGAGAATTGCACTTCCCAATACTGATTTTACTGAAGTTGTCAGATTTTGAGTCATCCTTTGTGGTTGAAGATTTTGAGCCTACGAACATTCGGTAGTTGTTCTAAACTCAGCTTTCTATTGGAACTTTGATTCTCCAGTCATTTGGAAGAATTCGGTGGACTATGATCACTTGAACTAGTCGAATCAAATCAGTCATCGTATTTCTTACAGTCCCTACTGACGGGTTGACGAAGTGGGGGTTCCGCTATTACGGCATTTCTTATGGCTTGTTGAGTAGACGGAGCTGCCAACAATCCATCCATATTTGAGGCTTGTTGGATCCGACCGCTTACACCCATTCGAACCTTAAGCTTCAGGCTGTTGAAAGACTTCAAACTTTTTCGGCTCAATTTATACGAGTGTGTAGCCACAAAAGTCTTTTTATTGACTTTTAAGTCTTTGTACGTTGGAGAAGGTGGTGTCTCAAATTTTTGAAAGATCACCAACATATACTTTGAAAAATAAGGATTTGTATTCTTTAGCACAAAAGAATATTTGGATTAGTAATTTGAAATATTTATTCGGGGATCTCGGCATGCAATATGATGTCGACTCGAATAAATATTTAAAATGCCCCTATTTCGCAGGGACTTGGAAACTTTAAAATTTTAAATATTTATTTGGGGATCTCAAAATGAAGTGCGATGTCGACCCAAATAAATATTTAAAATGCCCCCAGTCTGATGAGGAATTTTGAAATACATTCTCATAACATAGGAGAATTTCAAAATATGAAATCTATACGCTAATAATCATGTACGAAAACATAACGTATTAAACATAAAATTTTCTTGGGTAATTTTATGCATAATATTTCTTTAGGTATCGGCCATTTATCAGCGGCATGGATCTTTGACCATTCAGATCAATGAGTTGATAAGCTCCTCCCTGGTACACCTTTTCGATGATGAAAGATCCTTCCCAATTGGATACGAACTTGCTACCAATTTTTCTATGTGGGATGATTGGTCTTCTCTGCATCAGGACTAATTCCCCTTCGTGAAATGATCGAGAACGCACCATTCGATCAAAGGACTTTGTCATTCTCGCCCGATAGATCTCCAAGTTTTGTTGAGCTTGCAACCTGACTTCATCGAGTGCATCGAGCTCCTCCATTCTTCATCGAGCATTTTGTTCTTGAGTTAGCTCATTCTGAATAGCGACCGAAGAGATGGCAGTTCAACTTCTAGTGGCAACACTGCTTCAACCCCAAACACTAGAGAATAAAGAGTGGAATTGGTCGGTGTTTTGTAAGATGTACGATATGCCCACAACACCTCTGCCAATTTCATATGCCACTCTTTTTTATTCTTGGTGAGGATCTTCTTTAACAATTTCACCAGTGTTTTGTTAAAGGTTTCTGTCAGGCCATTTGCTCTTGGATAGTATATGGAGGAATATCGCTAATCAATTTTGTGCCGATCAATGAACTTATAATTTTTTGTACTTTTAAATGCGATACTGTTGTCCGAGATTATGCGGCGTGGTACTGCAAATCTGTGGATAACATTATGCGTAAAAAATTTGATCACGTGCTCGGACGTAACTTCTTTGAATGGAACTCTTTCTGCCCACTTGGAGAAGTGGTCGGTTGCTGCCAAAATGAAGCGGTGTCCTGCTGATGACGGCAGATTTATCGGCCCGATAACATTAGTATCACAACATTCAAATGGTCAGGATGCTATTGTAGGATGCAGTGGATTTGGCGGTTGATGTATAACATCACCAAGGATCTGGCACTCGTGACACCTCTCAGCGTGGTCAATACAATCCTTTACTATTCTTGGCTAATAATAGCCCATTCTTTTGATTTTAATTGTCATCTTAGGACCTGATTGGTGTGCTCCACAAAATCCTTCATGAACTTCTACTATCACTTTATCAGCTTCTCGGGTCCTTAGACACCTTCGCCACATTTGATAGAAAGCACGCCGATACAATGTGTTGTTGACAAACGCGTATCGCAATGCCCTCTTCCTGATTCGAGCAGCTAATGATTTGTCCGTTGGCAATCTATTTTCTTTGAAATAGTCAATGAAAGGCTGCCTCCAGTCATCTTCTTCTTTGACATCCAAGCAATGTCACCATGATTCTGAAGCTTGACTAGCATTGCATCTTTTCTTAGGAACTTGATGTTCTTCAAGTTGACTTTCAAGATCAACTGGTTGGGGAGATTGAGGATCAACCGAAGTTACATCTTGCTGGCTTGAGCTTGGTATTCCCTCTGCCTGCGGGAATTGTAACAATGCTGGCTCTAGGACCTGACGATTGGGTATCATAATTACTATAGGCCATTCATCATCCATATTCGTCATTTCTTTAACCAATTTGGCAAAGCAATCAGCTTTGCTATTTTGACCTCGGGGAACTTGAGCTAATTTGATGATTGGAATTTGTTTCATCAGCTCAAGAACTCGTTGATGATAACAAGCCAACTCGAACTTGGTGATTTTGTAGACTCCTAGTACTTGATTTACAACAAGTTGAGAATCAACAAAGCTATTAGGGCTTCAGACTCGGCTTCATTATTGGTCCGAGATTCAGTCAAGCTGAATGAGAATCTCATTATGCCACCCTCTGGTGCTACAAAGATGATGTCGATTCCGACTTGAGCTTTTTCCAAATTTGGAGGCCGAGCGCGCTTAATTGATGATGCTCCATCAAAGTACATTTTCCATACTCGTAGTATCTCCCTCTCTTCGACATTCATGATCTGCTCGTCGGGTAGATCGTCGTTGAGCAGTGAATCCGCAGGGATAGGATATGCAACAAGAAAATCTGCCAACACCTTCCATCTCACTGCCTTTTGTGGGACATGTGATATCAAATTGTAACAGTATCACTGCCCACTTGGCTAAACAACCTGTCAACGCTGGTCTTGTCATCAAGAACTTTAGCGGATCGATCTTTGATATCAAGGTGATTTTGTGAGATAGCATATAATAGCAGAGCTTCTAAACTGCGAAATCCAATGACAAATAATGCTTCTCAAACGAGGAATAGCAGATTTCTGCTCCAATCAACCCCCGGCTTATGTAGTAGAGCACATTTTCTTTCCCATCTTCATTGTGCTGAGCCAATAATGCTCCGATGGACTCTTCTAGTGTTGCCGTGCACAGTATAAGAGGCTTCTCCGAAATTGGCGCCGCAAGAATAGGAGGGTTCAATAAGTATCTCCTGATGCTATCAAATGCTTCTTGGCACTCATCATCCCATTTAAAGCGTATATCCTTCTTCATCAGCTTTGAAAATGGCTGGCACCTACCCGACAGATTCGATATGAACCGCCGAATAAAAGTCAGTTGCCCTTGTAAGGAGCAGAGTTGTCACAAATTCTTTGGACGTGGCATCTCCATAATTGCCTTGTTCTTGTTGGGCTCGACTTTGATACCTAGATGTCGAACAACATACCCCAGAAATTTGTCGGAGGAGACCCGAATACACACTTGAAAGGATTCATCTTCAGATCATATTTTATAATCCTTTCAAAAATAATTCTCAAGTCATCTAGGTGGTCTTTTCGGTCCATGCTCTTAATGACCAAGTCATCTACGTAGCATTTGACCTTTTGATGAATCAAATCATCAAATATACGAGTCATCGCCCGTTGGTATGTGGCACCAGCATTCCTCAGGCCGAAGGGCATAATCGTATAGCAGAAAATGCCTATAGGTGTTCTGAATGATGTATGATTTTCATCTTCAGGCGCCATTTTGATTTGATTGTAGCCCGACGATCCATCCATAAATGAGAACATATCATAGTTGGAAGTGTTGTCAACTAGAAGTTCTGATACTGAGAACGGAAAGTCATCTTATGAGCATGCCTTATTGAGATCCCTAAAGTCGATGCAGATACGAAATGGGTCAAGGCTTATCATTTATTCTTCTTCCATTATGCAATGTACTTATTGTTATAATGAATTGTGATTTTCCCAAATATATAACTCACCTATAGATATATGTTAATATTTTTTGTTATGCTAAGCTTAATGGAGTGACTAAAGGCTAAGAGCGCCAAGAAAGGAATGGTTATGTAAAGTACATCCATAAATGATGATTACTTTTGTTTTGAATTCAGATGCTCAAATTATTGTTTTGATGGACATAAAATGCATGCAATGTATGTATTTAATTGTAAAATTACTCATGCGCGACTATTCTATCATTATGTTACTGAAATTTTTTAATAATGATAGCTCGAGGTGTGGCTTGAGAACTCCCATCATCATAATTATCTGTTTCCAACTTGATTTATTCAAGCTCCCAACCTAGATCATGACACCTCTCTCTGCCCCCCTATGGTTTCTCTATCCTAATGGAAAACTAATAGCTCGATACCCCTCTCTCCTCTAACCAAAGAGTTCATCCCTCTATCCCCTACAGATTCCTGCTCTTTGCTTCCTTCAGATGGCTCATGGCATATTCTCTTTCCTCATAGCAAAACTCCTAAATCTTGAAACAATGCCATATCAAAAGCTTTCTCTTGGCAGATTTCCGCACAATTCTTTCTAGCTTTCATGAACTACAGACCTAAGTCATCTCTCTCTCCATTAAGGGTGAATTTAAAAACACAAGCAATTCATAGACAAAGTAAAGATAAGGGGGAGAGAAAGATCAAGAAGGAAATCATCCACAAACGCCCATCATCAAAGTGGCATCAAATCGATTATATTCAGTATCACAAAAAATATGTTAGCATTCAACAGAATAAATAGAGAAGGAAGATTGATAAAATTGAACCCAAATGATATCGTGGAATTCGTAAATGCAGTCAAATTCATGAAGAAGGCCAGTCTAATATTGAATACTAACATTTAGCAATTTGCAAAACAAAATGCAAAATTATTTTTGATCTAACCTGTTTATGACCTCTCGAACCAAGGTGAGGTGAGGCAAATGTTATAAAATTCATAGCTTCTAACCCAGCTATTGTGCCTTGCCAGTTTCCATCTTCCTTGAACTGGTTTGTAGTAGCAGGAGGAGAGAACCTATTGGAAGGATCATAAAGCCTACCTATAGCATATCTTGCTATCAAACCTCCCAATGAATGAGCAACAAAGGATATCTTCTGTATACCATCCCGTTCATTCACAAATGAAAGTACCTGCACCGGTAAGAAACAAAATGTAAACATGTATCTCAAAACAATGATTACTAAAAGTTCAGAACAGACAGAATACATATAATTAAATATCATATTGCGCCTATAACATCAAAATCATCAGCATTTTGAAGAATATCACAAGGTCAATATAAGTTTATGTAGGAAAACATAAGGGGAAGCATACTCATATTTTTTCTTATTTACAAAAAATTGAGGTATATAATTGATAGGAGATACAAGAGAAGTAGTATAGAAAGAAACCAGGAGGACATTAAGGCCAGTTATAAATCAAATTCTTCTATATATATATATATATATATATATAAGGAGGGCTCAGCGGATTGTTGAGTTAGCGGGCATCCAACCCTTGCTGCAGCTTGGTAAAACAATCCTTGAGGCGGGCGGAGATTTAGACCTTTTTCCACATTTGCAAGAATCCCAATGCCATGGATTGTTGAGGAAGCGTGACTATAAAGTTACTAAGAAGAGTGGCGGCATAGGAATATTTTAGTAATAGAGGTATTTGGTTGATTCTAAAATTTTTACATTCTCTCACAAGCTAGAAATACATGTTGATCATTCTTAACTTGAAAATAAGATTGTTGAATTATGATAGATCAAGAGCATTGTTGACAATAAATGCAATCTTGAGTTTTATCAGAGTGTAATTTATTTGAATGAAGTGTATATCAATTTCAACATATTTAGTCCAATCATGATGAACTGGATTTTTAGCAATGATGATGTAGCTTGATTGTCACGTTTCATCATAAGTTTATAGTGAGAATATATAAATCCTCAAGAAGATTATCACATCTCATTAAATCAATTATGTTCATGTTCACAAACACCATGGGCCATAGCCCTAAATTATGTTTCAGCGCTTCTCTGAGTAATAACAAATTGTTTTTTTGCTTCAACATGTCACTAAGTTTCCCATATGAATGAGCAATAATTTGATCTAGCCCAATTAGAATCAGCAAAGATTTCTATACCCGTCATAAACCCTCTTTATGAAGAACAACCCTTTTCTAGATGTTATTTAAGATACCTAGGCATTCCATACATGGCATCAAGATGCACCTTTGTGGGGTTATTCATGATCTAACTAACAAAACTAATACAACAACAAGTATCAGCTCTAGTATGGGATAAATAGATGAGTATTTATACTAACCGTTGGCACCTCTCTTTTTCTGGTGGGTAATCCCCTTTGTCCAATTTTGTTTGATGGATCCATTAGCATGTTTGTGGGTTTACATTCAAGCAATCCAGTCTCTTTTACTAAGTCCAAAGTATATTCCCCTAGTTTGACCTTATTATTTTCATGCCTAACAAATATTTTAAAGAACTACCATACTTAATTTCAAGTTCTTTTGTAAGAACACATTTCAGCTTATTTATATCTTCTTTATGGTCAGGTGTCAAAATGATGTCATCAACATATACATTCAAGATAGATATTTACCTTGAAATAATTTTCTGGTAAAAAGCAATGATCAAATGTTCTTTTAGTAATAGCCATGCCTTTTAATTACCCTAGTAAATAAGTCAAGCCAAGTTCTTGGTGATTGTTTCAAGCCATATAATGATTTCTTGAGTCTGCAAATTTTGTTTGTATAGGTATTACCCTCAAATTTAGAAGCAATTGTCACATAACACTCATCTTCTAGATCATCATTTTAGAAAGCATTTTAAAATCTAATTGATGGAGAAACCAATCTAAAATTATAGCAAGAGAATAAATTCCCGGATCGATAATCAATAATCAATATTATAGATTTGAGTGAAATATTTTGCCACAAGCATTGCTTTGTATCGATTGATACAAAGCCTTTGTGTTTTACATGAATATCCATTTGCAGACATCTAACAGCATTCTTCCCTTTTAGAAGATTTGAAAAGTTCAAGGACCATTCCTTTCAACAGCCTGAATTTCTTCAGGAACTACATTTCTCTATTCCAAAATTTGTAAAGCAACTTGAATACCATTTGCATCTTCTATGGTAGAAAGATCAACAGTAAAGACAGAACTTAGGAGATAATTTATCATAAGAGATAAAATAGCTAATTGGATGACTTGAGCTTTCTTGATATAAGCAATAGATATATTGAGATCACCATCAAAATTAGTGTTACCGCATCATTGTGAATCTATGTCAGCATTTGGGTCAAGCATTGGGTTTAATTCAGGGAAAATGTTTTCCTCTAATGCGTCGGTTGAATTTTTCCGACATCTAAAATAGATCATATGTATCTTATTTGTTGTATGAGATCTTAAAAATACTATGATTTAGGTAGGTTTTAAATAGGTGTAAACTGAGATCATATGGTAGTATTAATATTATCACAAAACTCATATTCATGGACAGAGTTGATGGTCTACCCTGCATGTGAGTTTTTTGAAAGAATAATTTTTGAAGAATATTACATCCATGGAAGTGTAGTATTTATTAGCAGTTGAAGAATAACATTTACAACTTTTTTGATGAGGAGAGTAACCATTAAAAATGCATTCTAAAGCTTTTGGACCAAGCTTACTCCTTTGATGGGGAGGAATATGAACAAAGGTAAACAGTTGAACGCTTTGATAGGCCTGGTGGAGACAAATATGTTTGTGAGATAGGTCTGAGTGAGAGCTTAATAATGAGTTTTTAACTTTAGGACCTTGGATAAGGTTAACAAGGAATGTAGAAGTAAGAATGACTCCCCCCTAAAAATATTTTGGGACATTGCTAATGATCATAATTAATCGAACAACTTCTAGAAAGTGTCTATTTTTTCCAGCTATCCCATAAACCCTAAGTATAGATACAAGAAGTTAGGTGAACAATCCTTTATTAGACGAAATATTCTCCAAAAATGGAGTGAAAAAATTCTTTCCCATTGACATTCTTAAGGACATGAATTTGAGTATGGAATTGGGTTGGTATGAAGAATAGAATTTTAAAAAATAGAAATGGTTTCAAACTTCACTTTCATTATAAAAATCCAAATGGCTAATGTGATTGTTAGCAAAAGATATAAACTACTCAACACTTGAAATATTGTTCACTTGAGGCGGCACACTGGCACCATACATCACAATGGATTGTATCAAAAGGATAGCAGGCTTTATACGGATGACCAGGATAAGAAGTTTGAGTGTTTTTCAATAATTGACAAGTTTCACATTGGGATGCCTCAGGATTTAGGTTGAGAAAGAGGGAAGTGAAAAGGTTTTTAGGCGCATAAAAATTTGGATAACTGATGTGGAAGTGCCATAACATGATGGTGCTTTCATTGGAGGAAGATACATATTGTGCAGTTTCCCTTGCATTTCACTATTGCCTTCATAGTTCAAGAGGTAAAAACTAGCATTTTCCTTTGTATTATTAATTATCCTACTCAAGTCCGTATTCTGAAATTCACAATAAGTAGAAAAAAAATTAGTATTACAATTCATATCTTTGATATTTTTGCTAATTGGTAATAAGTTGTATGAAAGCTTAGGGACCAACATAATTGAGTTAAGAACCATAAAGCTGGTGACATTTGTAATCCCAATGCCAGTAACTTGCAATGTTGACCCATCTATAATTCTAAAATATATAATTATGTAAACAAGGATAAAATATGTGATATAAGAAGGTATGACTTACTTGAGATCATGTGACTGAGAAAGCACGAATCCATTTTCTTAAGCCGACTTATAAAACAAATATTACTACGAGCAGCGCAGCAAGCTCACAAGATTGCTCACCGAGCAGCCAACTCTCATGTATTGACAACATACACATGTCGAGTTGAAATGTTGATTTGCGCTCGGGGGTCTCACTATTGAGAGGAAAGACAAGGTGAATTATAGGCAATGGTGAAGAAGTGACAATGGCAACATAAGTGCTCAACATGAACATAATGCTTCATAGGGCAACATGGAAGACTTGCGATGTTGACACGCTTATGCTAAGCCAATCAACGACAGAGATCCCTTAAAGATTCAAGGAGAATCACTGATTAGGCACATCGAGGCAAACTCATGAGGTTGACACTTATTTACGAGATCAAGGAGAGCTCATTGTGAGATTATTCGATCAAACTCATGGGTGTCTCGCATGGGATTGCAAGTTTTTGGCAAGGTGCAGTCAATCGAACTCATGTGAGGTGAGGCTTCGAGCAAGCATACTCACTGTAGGATTGCAAGTTCAACATAGGCCTGGAAGAGTGAACCAAGTGATTTTAGTGAGGCTCCTGGGCGAGCAAATAGTGGTATAAGCAATAGCAATGTCCAACGAGGAATCCTCATGGCAAACTCAATGAGGCTCGGGCAAGCAAACCCTCATGGCAAGGGAGTAACGTAATATGAATTGGGCTCTCATACCATGTAAAAAAGCATAAGGGAAAGAATACTCAATTATTCTCATACACAAAGAATGCAGGTGCAACTATAAAATAATTTCTTCCATTATAGCAAGGACTCAGTGGATTGCTGAGTTGGCTGGGCATCCAGCCCTTCTTGTAATTGGTAATTGGCAATCCCGTGAATTGTTGGGTTGGACAAACATCTGACCCATGTTGCATTTAGAGGAATCCTAATAACATGGATTGCTGAGGTGGCATGATTGTTAGTCAAAGGAGTGCAGCGACATAGGAATATTTCGGTAGTAGAGATGATGAGTTGAATCTAGGATTTCCATAATTTATATTAACAGTAATATTTCCTTGCTTTCAAATGGTTCTTTTGCACCTGCTCCATTTTTTTGCATCATTAGGCGTCGTGTTACGAGGTTTCGTCAGCCCATAACAATGTGTAAAAATATGTATTGATGAAAGTTGAGTTATTGAGTGTACAGAATCTCCCTGAAACATTCCAAAAACGTAAGGAAAGAATTGAATGAACTAAAAACAAATACATGCTAGACAACGGTTTATTAACAAAACTATAATTTTTTGGGGTATGAGCCAAAAAAAGTACTAAGAAAATAATGAAAAGAAAAAAACGAGGAATAATTTAAAAAAAAATTCATAGGAGCTGCTAAGTAGGGTAAGGCCACTATGTACCTCATCAGCTAACCTCTCACCCATCAAATCAACACCATCAAAAGTCAGTCTTGAAGAATTGCACTCACTGCCTGCTCGTAAATATTAAAGTTCAATAATATGTGCCAAACAAAAGAAATAAATTTAAAAATAAGTGCATAACCCGGTTTCACTGTCTTCACCGTCCACACAGCAGTAGATGGATGCTAGGCTTATCATAAAATTTTGCAGCTGAATTTATCCTATAGATAATATATATGTTGTAAAAAATGTTAATATGGGGTTATTGCTGTTTAATCTGCTTTACATTTTACTATCTCAATCTATTACTTCCATATAAAAAGAAGTCAAGCAAAAATCAACTATTTAAGTTTAAAGAAGATTCAATCATTAGTTTCGCATTGAACTGCAGTTTTTTTTTTCGAAATATTATTCTTCCAACATTCACGTTCTCAGAGAACAATATTATTTTGATCTAGCATGATTAATTTGATGGATAACACATGATTTCTTGAGGAGGCACTTGAAATCTTAATTCATTCCAATGAAATAAGCAAAAAAAAAATTAAAATTTTCAAAGGAATTAAAGCACTGGCGCCTTCAGCACCATGGTTTCCTAATGCCTAGGGCGTAGGCGCTAGCCTAAACACTCACATAAGTGAACTGACAAACTAAAAAATTTTACCTATTTTAAGTATGAGGATTTTTTTTTTTTTTTTTTTTTAAGTATGAGGAATATTGTTAGAGTATACAATATGATAATCCCCACAATTAAATCTCAACATAAACAAGAAAAAATGCATTTTTAAGCTGTCATTCCAAATAATATAATGATTAAATTTTGTTTAATAGATTGTCTAAAATAAAGTGCTCACAAGATCCCAAAATTCAAGTCCAAATAAGCAAATAAAATTAAAAATGCTAGCTTCCATATAGTAACTCTAATCTAATATTTATTAATATCCATTTCATCTTCTTCATCACCCTAACTCGCATCCCTATCATTAGATTTGTAGCTTTTCATCTCATATTATCGATGTGAATGTGTTAAAATATGATAAAAAATTTACATTGTAGAGGTGAATGCCTAGCACCTAACACCTAGGCTCTCACATAAGCAGCATCTTAGTGATGTCACCCACCCAGGAAGTTCCTGAGGAGCAGGGAACATAGGCGCTTGCCTTTTATAGCACTTAAAACGTGTACTCTTATTAATGACTTGATCGCCCAAAGTCACAATCCCTTCAGTAGGTCTATTACTACTAAAATTACACTCCATATATTCCGTTTTAAATCTTGCAATAGGCTCCATACTAGCATAAAACAAGCCAAAGGACCTATGATATCAAGTTATGATCAAAATTCATACTAAATGGGTTTAAAAAAAGAAGTATACACATGTTTTTCATATAAAATAGTGAGGCCAAAAATTGAAGTTTTTTTAAAATTTTAAGGAAACCAAAACTAACTCCACAATTCAAGTTAGAGAATATTTCAAATCTATCTATATTCTAGCCACCTAAATCAAGGAGAGAATGATTCTGAGGAATATTCTTTAAGGTATTTTAAAAAAAATGTGATAAACATTTAGATAAGGACGTCTTTTCAAATAATTTATCTAAATACATATGATTTATCTTATATTTCCTCTTTCTTTCTTTTTTTTGCAAGATTTAAATTTTTATGTATTTTTTTTTTTAATTTATTTATTTAGGAATTAGATGACAACAAATATAGTTTATAATTAGACTCTGAAGAGCAATTGAATACAAATTCAATTCACTGGGCATTAGTCCTCTATTGTATCTCTCTTCCTCACTTCTTCCATAACCGTTGACATGCCAATCCACCTCTTTGTTTTCTGTGATTGTAAGTTTCAGCCATTGCGAATCCAGCTCCTACAATTTAAGCTACTCGCAACACATAACCAGGGAAGAAACCTAAACCTATTGCTGCTGTCTAATCCCTGTTTTGCTGCCAAGCAGTGAAATCCTTCATTCATAACTGTTGAAAAATGATAATGTCAAAGCTATACAACAAGCTAGCAAAGAGAAAAGGCTAGTTGAATTGAATACAACTAAACCTTACTAGGTTTTTCTAAACAATTTCTAGTAATCAATTTTTTATTGGTCGTCTTGCCATCATCAATAAAGGATATTGCATTTGATCTTATAGAAAAACTCTAGATTTTTAAAAGCGTCTTGAAAAAATCCTAGAAAATCCTATCAGTTCCACGTAGCATTTCACATCATGATTCCTGAATTAATTCAATATTATAATATAATCATATTGTGATGTGTTGATTCATAATCAAGTCGGTATCAAAGGCAATTATTCTACTTGTAGGATTTCATATCATGGGTAATCTAAGTGAATATGAGAGACTAACAAGGATATAGAAGATTCTGGCTCAAATGACTTTGCTTATAGAAAAGTTTCAGCAGTTCCACCCAAGGATGAAATTATCAGTTCATATTAGAGCCCAAAAATCTAAGATGAGTACCCGGGAGGATCACAAGAGGCTAACATAGAATCCTGTGAGTAACCAAGAAGAATATGCAAGTACCCAAGAGGCCAGAAAAGATCTAATGATGGAAAAGTTAGCCGTTTAAGCAAAGAATGACAAGAAGAGTTAATAGGAAAATGCAATAGCTACATGTGAGCAATATGATGAGGGAGGCAATTGTTAATTAGGGCCAAGAAGGTGAAACTTTTGCAGACCACTTTTGTAGGAACAATTACCTTTTAAAGAGAGAACCAATGTCTGGCAGGATCAACCCAAAGATGATCGTGCCGTAACAATGAGTGTTATAATGGTTACGACTTCAGAAGGGTGAAAACTTACCGCAATGAGCAATTCACACCAAATAGAGGACAACATGCTTGTTGGAGAAATTTTATCATCCTCAATGGATTGCATATTTTGTGATCGAGTACGACATAAGAAAGATGATATATAACTCCGAAGGCTAAAAATATCATTTCATTATGAACTCAATAACAAAATTTATAATTTTAACAGAAAATCTCCCATTCAATAGTTGGTTGAATGAAGTTTATTTATTCTGGAGTACAAATGCCCCATAAGAGCAAACCCCTATAATTAATTGCATCTCAAGTATTTGGTACTCGAAAAACTCTTGATTAAACTAGTGATTTTCTTCCTTTTAAAATCATCAAAATATTGTCTAAATGTTTTACTTTAAAATTCATGAAATTCTTATTTAAAGATTTGATCTTTATGAATTTCAAAGGAATAGGGATCAATTTTGATTAGAATTCTTAGAATGAGAGCCAAGGAGAGGAAGAGTAGGAGTACTTGATTTTGAAGAAAAAACTCAAAGGTAATTAAAACTATCCTATGTTGGGCATTACATTTTAGAATCCAATTTTTGTTTAAGATGACAATTTTAATTTAGAATGTTGCTTATATTTTAACAACATATGTTGGAGGAAATGCATGAAAGGTGGAGGCTTGTGAACTAATTGAGATCAACATCTACCTCAAACCCTAGAACTAAAGTGAGAATTACTGAGGGGTGGTACCTCGAACCTAAGTCTAATGAAGTGGGGGACTTACAAACTATACCTCACATGAGGCATAGCCAGCCCGACATCTAGATTTAATTCCCTGCTTGGAAAGGGCTACCAACTAACCCGCCTAGTCGCTTTAAAAATCATGACATCCGACCTCAATGTTTATGAAGAGTAGGAAGGTTATTTTTATTTACAAGATAAGCCTTACAACTTGGCTTTTAGATCAAGACGTCTGTGAGATCTGGTCGGTTCACTTGAACCGGACAGTTATTAAAATAGGCGGATGGACGAAGCAGGTCGAGCGGCAAATCCAGCGAGCAGGGCCGCGACCTGGGCGGACCGCATGAGTGCGCAGAAACTTCAAGTGGGCTCAATTCGCTGTCTGGTGTGAAGCATCGCATACAGGAGAGAAATATAGCGACTCCTCGTGTGTCATATCTTCATTTCACTCATTTTTTTTCGTTGGAAGCAAACCGAAAGAAGAGTATAGAGAGGAAGAGGAAAGTATGTTCATAATTTTTTTTTCTGTGCAAATCATCATATGATTTCAAATCTAAGCAAGGATGAATGTTCAATTAAAAGTAAGAGAATAAAATCTAGAAAAGGGTGGAGAAGAATTTGAGATTTGAAATTGTTTCTTATAAAAAGTAAGTTCTTTAGTTGATGTTATATACTTCACTTATCGTTTCTCTAGTTGAAGAAATAATAAGAAATACATTTTCATTTTTATGTTGGAAGAATTCAAGTGATATAAAATTTGGTACTACGGTGGAGGAAGGAAGAATTTCAAGGAAGGAGGAAAAGTTTAGGTGAGGTAATTATTTTGATTTAATAGGAATTTTGGAATGAATTAGAGTCATTTAATACTATGATAAAGGATATATTTGAAATTATCTTTAAAAATGTTAGTCAAATAAACTTAATGATTTATTTTGGAATTATTGTGGAATTATAAAGTGTCAAGTGCTAAATGATGAAATTAAAATATAAATGTCAACAATGGTAGATTTCATAATTGGAAGAGAACACTTGAAGCCTTTATAGGTGACAATCTTTTGACCTCGAAGGATGGAGTACGAGTGTAGAAATCAAATCCCTTGAATCAAGGTGAGTAAATATGTTTTTATGTTACGGTAATTATATCGTTTCAAATTTTTATTTAATTGTTATAGCATGTTATTTACTTAATTGCATTTCAAATGATTAAATGATTTATCTCTCGCATATTAAGTGATTTATTATATTACTGTATAAAGCATAAGATAGAGCATAGTATTATGATATATGAATATGATATGATTGTTATATAGAATGATTGTATGTGCATGTTGAAATGATGGAGCTCACCTCCTTATAGTACTAGTTGGGGATGTTGTACCCGTGCACGTTAAAATGGTAAATGTTATGAAAAAGTATATGTTAAAGTAATACTTTTATTGGTACTAGACGGTGGCTTCTGTGACGGTTGTACTATATATGAAAAATGAGAAAATTACAAATACAAATATAATGAATGTAAATTGAATATGATATGATATGTATTTATGATTTATGC